TTTCTATACAAATAGATTTTTCCTAGATAAAAGGTACAACTAAATGATTCATTTAATTGAATCACTCATTTAGTATCGCCTAAACTACTACTCTAATCCACTGATACTAATGTTCTTCAAAAAAGAATAATGTTATTCGTTAGCAATGCTGATGACGGTAAATACAATAATCTGTGTGTTCATAGATCACTAACACATTATAATTGAATAAAAATAAACCATAAATTTATCTATTTTTCACCACCTAAAAGTAGAGAGAGGGCTATTTTTCAATCTTTTTTAACCTGAAAATGTAGTTAAATAAAGGCAACAAAAAGAAAAATTAATGTTCAAAATATTATTTTGCCAAAAAAATATTTGTGTTTATCGGTTCTCTATGACTATGAGATCATCTCGAGGCACCTTTAGCATTCGCAAGTTATGAATCGGTCATCAAATCTGACTCAACAAGTGAAATGCATTTGATATTCTCTTCGAGTTGAGCAGTAATAATCGTGAAAAGAAAATCTTTCATCTCTTAAATCAGCCTTACGAAGACTAAAGAATTTTATTTAAAATCACTTTTAACAATACATTATACTGAATTCACAATTTTTCTTTACTTTTTAACGATACGTACGTCCCTAAAAAAATCTATATAAAACAAGTTTTAAGCTATGGTAAACTCATGTCAGTCTTTTGGCCTCATGTATGTGTGGAAAAATACGACAAACATTGGCATCCTTGAATTATTAATGGTGACATAACGATAAGAACATTTGGGATTTTGACTTTGGTGCCTTTACCAATAATAGGACAAAAAACATTGCATGGGATTGCGAGTTCAATTGTGTAAATTATGGACAAGAATCTTCAATTGCACGACTTATACATGCTATTTCTTGGCAGCCCCTGGTTATATATAGGTTCCCTATATGTTCAAGCATTTTTCGATTAGACATTGTTGAATAAGAAAAAAAAAATTATTATTCTTTTATCGATTTAGGGGCTGTCTGGGGTTGATTCCCCAATTGATTAATGGACCGTTACTATCCCCAAGTAGGCCTTACTTGTGAGAGAAGGTGGTCAAAAAAAATGGCTGAGTGGCTTTCAACGATTGGAAAATTGATTTTTTGGACTCAAAAATCACCA